GGTTTAATTTAGGCAAAACAATTCGCAATGATGGGCAAAATTTACAGGGGACTGAAAAACGCCCGTACGAAACTCAGGTCCCCATAAAAAGCTTTCATTTTCCGGCCTTTTAGTGTTCAATCCTGATACGATTAATATCATGTCTGCTATCCTACTTTTATTCGCGCATCCATAATTGTTATTTCATTTTCTTTCCATGAAAAAAAAACAGCTTCCCTCTTCAAAATAAATTCCTCCTTTCCAACTGTGATCATCTGATGTATTGTGTATTTAAATTTGTTTGACGCAACTACGTCGCTGCAGAGTCATATCACTCTGTTTATGTACAATCTTTGCCTCGATTTACTTTGCCGATGACAAACAAAGCATAGTCATTAATAAAGGCTGAAAGTTTCTAATTGTAGTGCTGCGTCGGTGGAGGTGACAAGGTAATTTGGTTATATCAGCTAAGTTTAAATAGTAAATTGGCCACTGTAACGAATAAAAAGAGTGACGTTTCGAGCGTTAGCCCCTCTTCAGAGCGAATGGCTAACGCTCTAACGAAGGGCTCACGCTCGATAGTCATAGTAAGCCACACAGAGGGAATCAGTTATCAACAACACTCGGTGGTCGATTGTAAATTACGCAAGATGGCTGATTTCTTCTTCAAGACACGTTCCGAAGTACGTCCATGATAGCGTGTCAAATGTGTCTCATCTTCCAGCAGTAAATGACAGGGTTCAAAGATGAATTAAGAAACACAAGAGTCCATGAAAAAGGAAAGAGTGTTTTTTTGAAAACGACAATCGAGCCATAGATTTTCCAAACAGCAGCACAAATAAAATATGGCGAGTAACAAGTTAATACAATTTTAAAACTAGTAAAAAAGACGAAATATACGTAAAATATGCTAACTGTGGATTTAATGAGGATAGAAATGTTCTTTCTCATCTCATCAGACTGAGCTACTTCTTGTACTTGCAAAGATTCAATCTGATTCTTGTGCCGCCGAACAGTTAACTATATCCTGATGTACACCACAAATGTGACAATGAAACTGAAAGATGCAGAATTTAAAATAATAAGATCTCGAATACTGACTACCTCCACATTATCATCAAAGAAATAGATGCACCATACAACCATAGAGAAATTAACATACAGGGGCTGTCAAAATATTCAATTGTATTTTCATTAGTTTAAATCAAAATTTAGACAATAAAGGAGTGTTGCAGTAAAGATACGATAATTTTTACTTATTTTCGTGGGAGTT